GGTCCAGAGGTGGAACCAGCTGACTTTCTTCAGTTTAGGCGGCTCAGATGGCCATCCCCCATGGAGGAGGTTTGCTGGAGGTTACCAAGACCATCTGTGTGGGATAGGCACACAGCTGCTGCCACATAATCTCAGCGGCCACCTCTGTTAACTTGGAGTCAGGAGGAAATGTGGAAATCTGAGCATTTTTTTTAATGGAAAGAATTGAGAATTAACTTAAAAAAAATCTCTTTAAACGTTTGAACTAATGTAACTAATTTGGCTTTTCTTTTAGATTGAAAAATGTTTTATTAGCAAAAAGGGAAGTTTGAATTGGAATCGGGAACTACACAAAGCAGCCCACCACAGCAGCCTTGACAGCGATGACGCCTCTGCAGCGGAAGGACGAAGCTATCCACCCCGTGTGGTGATATTTTATTTGTGCTCTAACAAATAAAACTTATCTGGGCATCAGAGGACAGAGCCAGCCACTAGATTAGACACAGAGGCCAGGCGGTGGTGGCACACACCCTCAAACCTATCACTCGGGAGGCAGAGATCAGTCTGGATCTCTGTACGTTTAAGGCCACACTGGGAACAGAGTCAGGCATAATGGCACAAGCCTTTAATCCCAGCACTTGAGATCTCATGTCTTTGCTTAGAAAGCACACACGCCTTTAATCCCAGGAAGTGACGTGGCAGGGTGGAGAACGGTCTATAAGGTGTGAGGAGACAGGAACTGTCCTCTGTCCTCATAGCACCTGCAAGATCATGGTGCATGCAAACTCACAAAGGCTCACAGACATACACACAAATCTTTAAACAACAACAACAAGGAACCCAGCGCTGTCCTCTGATCTCCACACGGTGCCATGAGACAACCTGCATGCCTGCATACAACCTGTAGGCATGAGCATGTGTTCATGATACAAATGTATGCAGGCATTTAAATGGATATTTTTTGGTCCCCTGATTCCCTAGTTACATCTATTTATTTACTTTCTTCTTATAGCTGATAGACGAACTGCTACAGAAATGGATGCTCTTAAGGCCATATTATTAAATTATTAATTTCTTTAATTTGAAGTTTCCACTCGGAGTGCTACGATTAGGCTACAGACACAGGTGAGATGGGGAACAGCTATGTGGGAACTGGACAATTCACGATTCAGAGTAATCTTGAAGAAAAAAGGTATCATGAATACAGGAGGAGGGCCGAAACATAGTATTTTATTTAGAATTTAAAACGGCTCTCAAATCACACATTTAAGGACCTCACAATATTTTAAACTTATTTAATTCCTAACAGGCCTCTGTGATCCTGCATTACAGTTTTGGTTTGTACTCCTGGGTTTCCTTTTCATATGATCAATTTTTTTTTTTCCTATTTTTGGTTTCGATGTTTCTTTCTGATGCAAAACCAACCCCTGGGGATGTCACATGCCTTTTTTTTAATTTAGTTTTTTTCAAACTTGGAAAGCATATGCAGTTTCTTTGAGATGTAAAGAATGAAGGTGGAGGATTCGTCAGGGACCACATCCAGTTACTGAACTGAAGGAACGTGACTTCCCCGCGGTCAGAGCCCTGAAATGCTTTCAAACTCTTCCAGTTCTGCCAGACACGAGGAGAATTATGATGAAGGAGAAGTCAGGATGAGAAGAGACAAATCTGGAATCAGTACAGGCTGCACAGGCTGGCGGATTATATGCAACAAACTCATTATTCATCGTTCTAAAGGTAGGAAGTTCAAGCTCAGGGTGTTGGCATGGTTGGGCTCAGGAGGTCCTCTCTTCAGGATGCAAACTGTTTTCTTTATTCTGGTATGATACAAAGGGTAAAAGAACTCTCCAGGGTCTCTGTCCTAGCATTTTTCCTAATCCCACTCATTAGGAGTGCCTTCATGATTTATGACCCTTCCAAAGGCCTTATCCCCGATAACACCTCATATTGGGGTTTAGGTTTCCAGCCTCTGAATTTTGGGGGCTCCTAAACATTCACTCCACAACATATGTCTTGAGACAAAAGTATCTTATGTTTGAAACGTTTATAGATGTATAAAACCACATGGACATGTCTCTAGGGCCACCTCCACGGGCCTGGGAGGTCTCCGCAGTTTAAATTTCTTGAAATATGCCTTTGAGTTTTGCTCTGGATAAGGGGTCAGGATAAACACCCATGAACTTGATCATATCCACAGAGAAAAAGAGGTAACTGAGGGAGGATTTAGGACACCGTCACATGTGTGACGTTAAGGGCCACGTAAAAACCCCCGAGAAAGTGACCATTAAATGCTTGGAGTCTTGTGAGGTATGAGAAGTATTTAAATTAATTATCAAGGAACATTTTCGAATGTTAACCTAGATGACTAGTTAAGAATTTTCTTGGAATGAGTGGGACAAGAAAAAGCTGAGACCCAGTCAGGGGCCTTATCAGGGGCAACCCACACTGAGTAGTGGTGGCAGCCAGGCTTTGGAGTCTTACGATTTTAGAATGTTTTTGCTATAAAAATTTATAGCAAAGTAAGTTTTTGTCACCAGTCACTGTGGTTGATATATTGGAAGTTTTAGGCAGTTCAGACTGCTTTCTAAGAACAACATCAATAAAAACTCTCCCAACCCCCCATCCAAACCAACAAAAAACCCAAACAACAACAACCCAGGGCATCCACTGTACCACTATTCATTTTCATACTTTTTAGTTAAAGGACAGGTTGTGAGGATGGTTAATCAATATGGGATGCTAAGGGTCCAGGTGCAGGCTGCCGGGTCTAAATTGTAGACTGGCTCATGGCATCCCACGGGATTCCTGGTACACACAAGGCTGACCCGGAGTCCAGTCAATAGAGACTGGAATTGGACCTCTGATAGCATGAGTTCCATCAATGATGCCTGCGATGATAGATTTAGGGACAAATGCATCAGGGCTGTTTTTGTGACCAGTGACAGAACATAAATAAAAAGGGAGATGATTTGACATGTTTGCCTCCTTCTCGGGCCAGACACCCTCTTCTTCATCTCAACCTTTCTTTCCCACGTGGGCTTCTTGGTAAACTCTAGCGGTCCTTGCCACCTGGCTTAGGTCTTCCAGCTTTAATGAGACTAGTTTTAATAGCTTTACATTTTCTGAACAGATCCGAGGAAAGCTTCACACTGAACTTTTGAACTAATATGTCCACCCCATAGCCAGACATTGCGTTCTAGAAGATGATGGCTGGCCTGTCTAGGGGTCTGCCAGTATCCAAGGAACTAGAGACTCACTGTGGGTGAGGGACCGATAGGAACCACTGTTACTAGAAAAGAAGAGTTGGGGAGATCCATAATACTCAACACAGACATTCAAAAAGTATGCATATCCATTACTCGGGGGGGGGGGGGGAGGAAGTATTGTTTTACTTCCTGCATAAATATAGTTAATCTACGAACCAAGTAGCTCTTTCCCATGTCTATATAGGCACCATGTAAGTACTGTAGGGGCATAGTCTTAGATTTCAGCATTACCCATTTACTTTTTTCTAAAATGAGACTGACTCAGAGAAGATGCCATAGAAGAAATACATGGAAAGCGCCAAACATCTACATAGCAAAATTGAGTTTTTTAGTGTCCTCTCTAAGCCAAGTGCGATTTTAATAATACATTTTTCGTCTTGACCCCACCCTGTGTGTGTGTGTGTTTGTGTGATCTATGTGTTACTTACTGTCTTGCCCATACAGGTGGGGAAACTGAGGCATGACGCCCCTGACTCAGCTTTTGGAGTAGAATTTAGAAACAAGACTTGTCTCCATGACCTCAGCGGGTCCCCTTCATCCTTCGCGAAGCCTCTAGGAACGCTCCTGTCCTTCGCTGCTCCGCAGCCTAACTCAGTCCTCCAACCCAGCAGCAGCAGCAGCAGCAGCAGCAGCAGCAGCAGCAGCAGCAGCAGCAGCAGCAGCAGCAGCACCACCACCACCACCACCACCACCCGCCCCGCTCGCTCTGGAGCGCCGTGCTGAGGGAGGTCCCGTGGCCGGGAGTCTGGCCGCTTCTCCCCGGGGCTCGGCTCGGTCAAGCTCCCGGGGTCCCCGACGTGCAGGCGGCCCTCCCCCCGTCCCCCCTGCCCAGCGGCCCCCAGCGCGGTGCGAGCAGATGCCGCCCAGGCGTCCGGCGGACGGGGCGGCGCGGCTGGAGGTGAGCAAGCCGGCCGGGGACCCGTGGCGATGCAGGGGGGGGGGGGGGGGGAGGCGGCGGGCGTCGGCGAGGGGGACGCGGGGCGGCCGGTGCGCGGCTCGCGGGCGACGCCTGGAGAGCGGGCGGGACGGGCGCCCGCCCGGGGCCCCCCGAGCGCGGGGAGGACACGGCTCCGCGCGTCCCCGCCGCCGCCGCCGCCGCCGCCGCCGCCGCCGCCGCTGACTCGACACAATCGGCGGGTCGCGCGGCGTAACCGCGGGTGGGCGGCGGCGCACGGAGCCGCCTCGGGAGCGCCGAGGCTCGGGTCGCGGCGTGCCGGGGGAGGATGCCGGCTCCAAGGCGAGCCGGGGACGGTCGCTGAGACGCTCGCCGGTCCCCGGGAGCCGCGTAGGCTCCGTAGCCGCGGCCGCCGCCGCAGCTCCGGAGCTGCCAGCTCGCTCGCCTGCCCGCCCGCCCGCCCGCCCGGCCGGCCGGCCGCCTGCCTTCCTCCGCGGCGCGCACTGGCGGCTCGCGCGCGCGGCGACTGCGGGGCGCGCTCCCGCCTCGGCCGGGTCCCCACCCGCAGCCCGCCCGCCCGCCGGCCCAGGTGAGTGCGCGGCCCGTGCCCCGCGCTCGCCCCGCAGGTAGCTAGCGGGTGGCGGCTTTGTCTGGCTCCCTCGCGCCCTGGCGCGGGTCGGTCATTCATTTGACATTCTGCTCCCGGAGCGCCCGCGGACCGGCGGCGGGCGCCGGACGCGCCTGCTGATTCGGTGATTTCCCCAGGAGCTGGGACTTGGGGGCTCCTGTGAGCATCACTCGAGGGAGAGGAGGAGGCGGCGGCTTCCTTTGCTTTCTCTTTGGAATGTGTGGTGAGCATCCTCTGCTGGAGCTTGGGGCCTGGAGGAAACCCGGGCTGCAGATTTAGACGTAGACGTTTGGGAGGACGTACAGCTGCAGAGGTCTGGCTCCTTATGCCTGTGTCTTCTTCTCCGTGAGCGGCGCTCAGCTGCTTTTCGTTTATTATGATTAATTTTAGGGACACCGTCACGGGCACAGTTATTTCTTTTCGAGTTGGGAGCCTTTGGAGTCAGCACAGAGAGCTCGCGAGTAGAGTTATAAGGGTTCAGTCAATAATAAACTTGGAAAAGGACAGCGTCGGTGATCGTATGGACAGAGGTGAACGAGAGGCAAACTTCACCGCGGCCTTTAGCCTTTGTGGATAAGATTTCTGCTTTGCTCCTCTTGAGTCATGCAAACTCGGAATTCTTGTACGTATGTCTTTGCCAAACTGTGCAACTTGTTTTTGTTTCTTTTTTTGAATAGTTGTGTGTGTGTGTTTGTGTGTGTGTGTGTGTACTTTGTCGTTTAGTAGAAAAATTGAGTAATCAGTAGTCTTTTATTAGAAATTGTGAAATTTGGTGCATTTGTTTGCCTTGTAAATATGATTTTCTTTTTACTGCCTCTCCTATTCCCTGAAGGGCTCATTTCTTCTATTGCCTAGAGAGTCAGTCAGCCTCTCTCTTTCCCTCCCCCCTCCCCCCAACAGATGGCTTTATGTGCCAAGAGGTTATCTTTAAAATGTCAGTCACTTTACTTACAAACAAAGCAAGCTTAGTTCTGGAGTTTGTCTCTGGAGTTATGAGGGCCAGTGTCCTAATCTGAGGGGATGACTTTAATGGTGTCAAGATCTGGATGCTGCTAATCTGTTTGGTCATCAGAAGATTCCTGCAGGGATTGTTTATGTAGCGTGGGACAGATGGTGTCCCTAGCAGACAGGAGGAGCCAGGCAGAAAGGGGCATTGCACACTTAGAGACTGTCTGCTGTATTATTGGGAGGCGCAGCAAAGTGAGGCCAAAGGCAAGAAAGTCATAATGTTGACCTCTTAAAGGGGACATTTGTTATCCAGCAACCGACATCATTTCTTTCTTTTCCACATTTAAAAACTCATCATTGAATTGTTTGTTTCATTACTACATTAACATAGGTAAGATAGTTTAAGCAGTTACAGCAACACAGATAGATGCCTTTGAACTTAAAAGTATCTTACCACCTTGTGGGGAGTAGTCCCACTTCTCTTGGTCCCTGCGTATATCTGGCACCTTGGACTCCCAATGTCTCCAAGCTGCAAGGACCTGAGTGTCCCCTGCGTCCGTTTACATTGGTTTCTTATATCTCCTTGGTAGGTAGTTTCCTGACCTCCACCTTTGCCCCCAAACTCTCAACTCTGGGCATTAATTTACTTCCACGATGACGCACCTGTCCCTAGACATTTGCTTCCCTGTGACACCCATCATAGGTTGGGGTGCCTCTTGGCAGTGCGTCTTTGTGAAGCGAAATGATGTCAGCGAGGAACTCGAAGTCATTCTGAACATTTGATAATCCAGCTGTAGGTTTCCTGCTTCTGTAGATTTCATGCTCCGGATTGCAACTTGATCAAACATTGGTTTTCGTTTGTTATGAATGTGAAGGAAAATATTTTAGCAAATTGATTTTTTTTTTTTTTTTTTTTACCAGCCACGAGACTAAACTTCATGATCCAATAGTGTTTGGCTGAGCTGTGCAAGAGACTTGAGATAAAGAGCTGGGACTCTGAAGAACTTGGGCCGTGTGCTCTAAGGAGGAAAACATTCATTCTTGCACTTTTCAGAACCTTTTCACCACTGACACTGACCTCAGCAAATGAAAAAGAAACCCAAGTTGTTACTGTATTTGAGGACAGATACAGTGGCTTTCTTTCTTGGGGATTGTTTTGCAGGAGGGATGGATGGCTTTGGGGCCCTGCTTGGTGTTGAATGTACTCTGTTATCAATGCAATGATCTGATATCTTTAATCCTTGCTCTTCAGTCTGTGCCCGATGTCTGTGTCCTCATGGGTGGCCATCCATGTTGTGAATTGTTCCTTTGAAAGAAAATACGCTCCTGGCTTGGGCTTGCTCCGGACCTGGCCTGTTGTAGTGCTCAGTAGTGAACTGCTACCTGCTTAATCCTGGGTGGAGGAGGTGGTGGGCGAGTGGAGGTGGGGGGTTGGGGCTTGGGAGGGTGGAGGAGGTGGTGGTGGGGGGTTGGGGTAGTTCAGCATGGTGTGTTGGATAGGAACTAGCAGCCTAAGACACTTTGTTGTTTCTAGGCCTAGGCGTGAAGTTTAGTTGCTCCAGCAGGGGCAGGGTCGCTTCTCGGGGCCCAGGAAGCTGCCACAGGATGTGAATGATATGAAGGAGAGATTAGAAGGGTGACCAGACCTTCTGGTTTGCCTGTGATGGTGCCATTTTGTCACTACCGACTTATCTCCACTTTTAAAAGTTTCCTGGTTCGGATGATAAATTATATGATCACTCTGGAAATGAAGGTGTCTTGGGTGATATTCACCAGCCTTCCCTTGACCTCAGCTTTCCTTTCCTTTCCGTTTTTCTTTTCTTCTCTCTTCTTTACTTTCTTTCTTTGAGACAGGGTCTCATTATATAGCCTAGGTTGACCTTGAATCCAAGGTCCTCTTGTTTTGGCCTCCCAAATACCGGGATTGTTGGTGTGTACCACCGTGCTTAGCTGACACCAGATTTTGAGCGTGCTTAATGTCAGTCTTTTACTTCTTAAATATTCAGTAAGAAAATAAGATAGTTGAACCTGAAAAATACAAAAGGAAAAGACATAGTGGGGAAATGAAAGAATGAGATCCATTTCCGCATGTGGAGAGAGGGCGTGCTAAGTCCTGAAGAGTCTGTCGTGGTTCTAAGCCCCTATTACTGCCTTCAAGACAGCAAGCGTTACCTCCTGCCCTTTATTTAAGGCTGACACAAATTGGCTGACTCCTGCGATTTGGGAGGACAGTTGCTCCAAACCTTGATTGTAGATTGAGTGTTTACGTGGTGCTTACACACATGAATGCCTGCTCCACCATCTAGGGTTAGACACGGTTCTTGGATATTTGCTGGGAGTCCAGAACACAGATGCTTCTGTATAGTCTCGACTCCACATTCTTGCAGTTTCCCCGGACAATAGGGGCGCTTTTGTTTTCTGTACTCTGTTCTGTTTCCAGTGGGATTTTGGCCTCAGCTTTTCATAGGGAATGCATAAGAAAATAAACTATACAGCCTGTGCAAGTTTACATTGTGCGAGTAACCTGATGAGGCTTTGGGCTTTGTATATATGAAGTTTTGGGCCTCTGATTCCATGACTTTTGCTGGAAAACGTGTCTGTTTCTAACAGTTCACTTGTAGTCCTGGCCAGGAGGTATTATGTATGGGTTGTCTTTAGCACTCAGTCCACCAAAGTCCTTAACAGCTTGGTCAGCAAATCTGAATAAGAATAAAATTTATTTATCTCCTTTATAAATATGATGACTAAGTAATTTTTTTCCAGTCAAGGACATGTTTGTGAGTAGAATGTGGTACTACCTGGAAAGGGCACCAAGCTAACCAACTGAACTAGCTCGGATTTCTAAGTTACATTGCTTGTTGCTATGATCAAATATCTGACTTAAAGAAGGAGGGGTTTATTAGGTTTATAGTTAGAGGGAATAGAGTCCATCATGGCAGGGAAGATGGAATTTCTGAGGTGGTTGGTTACATTGTATCCACAGCCAGGCATCAGAAACTAATGAATAACTCTTGTTCATCTGGCTTTCTCCTATGTATTCAGTCTGGGACCCCAGCCCATGGGAATTGTTTATCTATATTTAGGGTGAGTATTCCCATATCACTTAAGCCCATTTAGGAAGTCCCTTCCAGATGTGACCCGAGATTCATTTCCATGATGATTTGAAAATCCAAGTAAGTAAGTTTACAGTCAAGATTAAACATTACACCAGGGAAACCAGCATGTATGGCCATCCTAATTATGATCATGAACTTGAGGTGCTGGAGAGATGGCTCAGCAGTGAAGAGTGCCTACTGTCCTTGCAGATTAGGTGTACCCCCCAGCACCCGGTCAGGGGGCTCACAACCAGTTCCAGGGGATACAACATCATCTTCTGGCCTCCACAGACAAATTCACCCATGTGGTGTGCACAAACACAGGCACGTACACACACATACACACGTATAAAGAGAATAACTAAATCTAAAAAGAAATTGTGAACTTTGGTCTTTGAGGTGGCTTTGGTTGGCCTGGAACTTGACTCGTCTGAGTGCACATATGTCTCCACCTGGATTTCAGATTGCTAGTTTTTATATAAAGAACATTCACCTTAGTTTCTTCTGGATTTGTTCAATTTGTATGTTTATGTGTGTGCTTGCATATGTTAACAGAATATTTATAGTTATGGCTATTGTGTGGATAAAACAAACCACTAAGAAGCCGTGGTCGTTAGGAAATTACATATTTAATTTCTTCCATGGATTGGCTTTTAAACTAATTCTCTGCGTTCGGTCTTTCCAAATTTTAAATCAGTTCCTGATCTTGTCTGGTTTTAACACCATTTGTTGCTATAATGTTTTTGCTTAAAATTTCGATAGTCTACAATGTTCTGGTTTAAGTCTTAAAGAAAGATCCATCCACAGATTGGTGGTTATGGGGAAAAGGAAGAATTCCACTTGTTCACTTACTCCCTCAACTGGGTTTTTATGAGTTAGTGTCTGATGTTGGTGCTGGCTGTACACCAGAGAATAAAACAATGAATGCCAACCATGTGGCGTTTTCATGCTATGGAAGGCCTGGAGAATAAGTCAAATAAAAAAGGAAATGATGTAGCATGGCAGAATGGCAAATGTGGCAGAGAAATGTGCTGTGCGGAGAAAGTGACCCCAAACAGAGACTTGAGAGGAAGTCCCAGTGTGCCGTCAGCATGTGCAGGGAAGTGGATATCAGTGTCAATATAAATGCGAATCTCTATGCATTAGAACAAGGGAATCTGTGTAGTGCATACGGAAATAGGACGAAGTATATATACTTACGTAGTTACAGAATGGAGAGAATTGCGGGAGGAAATGGAGGAAAGGGCCAGTCCAAATGTTTGGTCTGTTGGGTGATCTGTATTTGGATGTGTTCAGAGATCCACACGGAGACTGGTATGATGCTCTGTAGATACCTGGGAGGAGGGGATTGGGGTCGGCAGTGAGGTCAGAGAAGTAGCATGGTGTAGTAGGGCTTGTGTAGGGCCTTGAGATAGGAGAGTCACTATGATTTCTGCAGGCATTCTATTATGTCTTCTTTAAAAACATTTTTAAAATTGTGTGTGTATGGATCTTTTGCCAGCATGGATGTCTGTGCACCGCATGTGTGCTGTGCCTATGGAGGCCAGAAGAGGGGATCAGATCCCCTAAGACTGGAGTT